ACACTATTGATAATTACTATCAATTTTATTCTAGTTTTCCCTGGAAAAAGTTAATTTCTCTCTTCTTATTGCCCACATCAAAAGAAGAGTTCAGATTACCCTTAGGACTACTAGGGAAGAGTGACAATCTTTTCGAATTTTTAAATATGTTGCCATCGAAATGATAGAGAAGTATATTTATATCAATTATTTTAAAGTTCTATAAGAGTAGATTCTTCCATTTGAATCACACATTGATTCATTTTTATCCCATAAAGTTACTTAATATATAAAGTTACAAATTCTATTAATTGAATATGAATCTTGGGTTCCAATAAATGTTCCTCTAAGAATAGTATCAGGGCCAAAGTGTAAAACAAAACAGCATTTTTATGGAGGGAAAAGGTTTATGTATTTATCCATTTGGGGATATAGAAGAGAAAGGAAGAGAGAAAGTGAAAGCAAGTGATTTTTTTCCCTGAAATTGACAAATAGAAAATAAGGAATGTGGACTTAATATTGACCTGTAATACACCGCCAATTTTCTCTTGCCTGTGTCACTGTTCACATTTTACCTCATCATGATTGAAAAGGGATGAGTGCACTAAGCATATAAAATTGTTTTCCTCCTTTCTCTCTATCATTTCATTCCCTGTCAAAACAGGCCAAATACTCTTAGTGAATAGAATAAGCCTCTGTCTCACTGAACATATGTACAGAATCTTAACTACTGAGAAGCTGTAGCTGCCTTTTCACTCCAGGTTTCCTTTCACATCCACTTAAGAAATCTCCAGCCTCATCTCTGGTCTCGGGAAGAGCAGAAAGTAGAGTCCATGTGCATCACCTTTGAAGGTGGTAGCATTTCCTAATGGTTGGTTATCTGGGCCATATTCTTGTTGGACTCATTATCCCAGCACAGAGCAGACTGGCTCCTTCACCATGTACCATGTGCAGCCCAAGCTAGTTAAAGAATCCAACAAAAACTAAGCGCTGAGAAACAGCTGCAATCCAAGTCAGGGTAACAAATGAAGGATGTGAGATTGCCCAGAAAGATTCCATATCCTCTGCTCTTTTACCTCAGTCTCTTTTGTCTGGACTTTCTCATGTGGTTGGTCCCTAGAGAGGACTACGTTTACTATTACCTTTTCTACTTTTCCAGGCAAGGACTCTTGAAAGTTCCTTTGGATCCCAGCAGGAGCTTTGCATACTGTATTCATTCTCTCCTTTTGTCCCTGCTTTTTAAGTCCTTCTTCCCATTTCACAACTGCAGACTCTCAGTCCCAGCAAACCATCTCCTCCGATGTTCAAGCATCTTTCTAATCGACAGAATGAGCCCTCCAACCTCCTCCCATGAGACCAGGTCTAGCTTTACATGTGTTTTATCGACCTGAGCTTTGAGAGGGTCAAGTCGGTTTTTGCACGTGGCTCACCCCTGCACTACAGAACAGTGGGAGAAAGTGGAGGAGGAATGCGTCGGCAATTGCTGCTACTGTGCCTTTACCTGCGTTGCCATTTATAAGTCTTATGTCCAAAGGAAATTTGGCTTTGATTTCTCACCACAAGGACATGAGAAATCATCGTGAGTGCTTCGAGTTTAGCTTCAAAGCCGCTCTGAGCGCTCGGGCTTTAAGACCATCAAACAAAGGGTCAATCTTAACTTTCTCAAATTCCTTGTGAAATCAGGTGGATGGATGGGTGGATGGATGGATGGATAAATGGATAAATGGATGGATGAACATTCTCAACTTTATCTACACTAACTCAACATTGGTTGAGCATCTACTAGATTTCATGTGTTCTCTCACTGCCACATCTGCTGATACTGTGCATTCTCCTTAAGAATTATCTTGAGTCTGGCTCCTCTACTCCATATCTGTCATTAACTCCTAGTCTAGACCCTCCTCATAGCTTGCCTGAATTTTCACAACAGCCTGATTAATGTCACATACTCACTAATGCCACCTCATCTTGGCCATGTCCAGGGCCACTTTTCAAAAACCCAAACAACAGACCACATAACTCTCCTACTTTCCAGTTTCTACTGGCTTCTAGTTGCCATGAAATAAAATCCAAACACAAAATCCAAAAATCTCACAAGATGAAATTCCTTGGTCTGCTTACTCAGATGTTCCTGCTATAGTTACAAATCCCTACCTATACCTATTTCTCCTCATCTCCTTCATGCACCCTGCATTGCAAATACATAAGATTTCTTGCCCGAAAAGACAGACTCAGTTTGCTAACATCGTTTACTAGCTCTATAGAAACGGTTTTAGAGTCACTCACTTTTTCTAAACCTCATTTATTTCCTCAGTAAGGGGAGATTGGTTGCAAAGAGGTAAGAATTGTAAAGATGTAAGATAGAACATCAGAAATTACCTAACCTAGCGCTAGTTTTCTTTCTGTGCTTTCGTATTATCATTCTCCCTAGCTGAGGTATGCCTGTCTGTTCTCCATGTGACAAACTCGGTTTATCCTTTAAGATGCAGACATTTTCTGCCTCCTCCAGATTGACTTAGATGTTTATTGCATCATGATATAAAATGATACTATTGTAAGTACTTAAAGACAAAGGCAATATTTGGGGGATTTTTTAAAATTCGTACTTTGACCTGGTATAGAATAGCTTCTCAAAAGTATGTATTGAATGAATATATGAAGGAAGGTACTATTCTGGGCTTCCATCTCCAGTTCTTGAAGTACTCACAATCTTGAAGAGTGTGAAACAAACAAATTTACACAAACAACCACAGTAAGAGTCTCACTGGAAAGGGGGTTCAACTGAGGCAGAATTCAAGTGTGATGGCATCCAGCCTTTCTTCCTGAGGACACAGGGAAGCCGGGAAGCCTTCACCAGAAATGAACATCTGAGCTGTCTCGATGTATGCATGTGGATTTAATTTTCTATTTTGTTTCACCTGCCCACGTGTTTATTGTGCCTACCTCTCCTCGTGCCCTATGAAATCCTGAGTTTTGGTGGCAGAAGACCAGATAATTTTTAAACTTTGGTCAACAGTTGTCAGTCAATATCATAAATAAACAGAGTTTTTTATAATACAATTTTGAGTGGCAATTATAGTTTTGTTTATAAACCCTGAAGCCTGTAAATTACCAACAAATCAGCATATCTTTGAAGATGAAAACAAACTACACCAAGAAGATAAAGGTTTGAAAACTATAGAGCTATAAAATCTTATGTTTTCATTATATACCTACTGGAGAATAGATGTGTTGTTTAGACTCTAAGTAATTAGACTGCCCAAGTGAAATTGAAAAATGATGAACCATGACATACCAATCTATTTTAATATGATGTATAGAGTAATTTTTGCCCTTTTTATACCATGGGAGGATATTCAATAAAACTTTGAATATAAGATTTGTAAAGAAAAGATTTTGTAATATAATAAGAAGTGAAAAAGCCTAGAAATGCTCAGTGCTGAATCCAGTAAACTATAACTATCATTATAAGTTAGCATTTGGTAGCATCTTCTACATATATCACTTTATTTTGATTGAAAAACTCTAACATCTATTGAAATATCTTCCTTCAAGAGCACTAATTGCAAAATCTCCATTTAATTTTGTCTCCATTGGAGTCATCACATTGCTCCCTTGATGACAAGCTTAATAGAATGTCCTAATCATGGTAACTGTGGCTACCATTTATTCAGTGTTTATAATGTTCCAGGCAATGGACCATAGGAGATTTTTATTTAGAAAGTTTGCTAGAAGCATATGTTTACATTTTTTGTTTTCTATGTCACTGAAATATAATCCGCTTCATACTGTATATACCAGAAGTTGAATGAGGTAAAAAGAAAATTCCCAAGTACTGCTGTGAGGGCTATCCTGGAGAAAGGAGATTGGCCATTTAGAAAGAACAGAAATTACATTTGAAATGGCACAATGTTAAACACAAGAAAAATTCCATTTTTGTATGAGCCAAGAACAGTTATCAAGTAGAAGATTTGGTCATATTCATTCCACTCACAACCTCATACAGAACTCCTGAATACTTTAGTTTCCCAAGTTGTCGCCTTCTCCGTGTGCTCAAATAGCAGATGGAATTATGGGGACTCCCTCCTAGCTCTGTCCACCTTCAGTAGACTCACAGCAGGTTGTTTTTGAGGAGAACACATGTCTGGTTCTATTGCTTCCATGCTTCCAAACCTAAAATGATTGGTGTTTAAGGTACAATATGAAATACAACTTATTTGGGATAAGCTGTTCAAAAAGACTATTTGTGTTTGCAGCTAATTTTTATGAATTTAATCATTTTATCTTTTTTAAAAGAAAAATTTTCATCATGTAAAAAATTAAAAAGGAGAATATAATGACCTCCGTGACCCAATTTCAATAATTATCAGCTCATACGCCAATATTGTATTGTCTGTACTACCTCTCTTGCTCATTATTTATTATATCAAATGTTTACATTGTTCCAAAGTCAAATCTATGAAAATAATATCTTTAGAGAAATCTAATTTTTTTTGGTCTTTCCATTCTCGTCTCTATTTCCCCTTAGATAACCTTTTCTTTTAGTTTGAGGTTTAATGCTCCCTTTTAAAAAATATAAGCAAATAAAATAATTTATAATTTAATTTCCTTTTTCTAAGATAAACAATAAGGATTCTAATGATTTCAAAACGTTTTAAAGTATTTGTAGTATAAGTGTTAAGACTGTTAGTTGAATTTTAGGCCAAAAAGCAAAAAGTATAATAATTTTATATCTACTTTGTAAATAAATAATTTTTAATGCTTGCCAGCTTGTAAAACCCCAAGGCTATGATAAAAATAAAAAAGTGGGTGGGAGGGGTAAGGCGGTAAATTTTAATCGAAATACTGAAAACTGAAAAAAAGAGATAAAAAGTTTGAAGTTTTTCAAATAGATTGTAGTGTTAGACACTTTAATACAATTGGAGTATTTCCAAAAGGTATTCTTATAGTAAACACATTAAAAGTTAATTTCATGAAGTGATTTTATTCACAAACCCTTGAATTGATATTCTTTCTCATAGATCGAATTGCACAGAACATCATTAAGTCGCATTTGGAGACATGTCAGTACACCATGGAAGAGCTGCACCAACTGGCCTGGCAGACCCACACCTACGAAGAAATTAAAGCGTATCAGAGCAAGGTATCCTGAGAAACCATGAGAAAGTTTTTCTGTGATTGCCCTATTTCTGGCTTTCTCAACTTCCACACTAATGACGTTCTAGGCTGGGCAATTCTTTGCCATAAGAGTATCCTGCAAATTGTAAGATATTTAGCAGCATCTAAATATCCATGGTCTCTAACCCACTAAATGCCAGTGGCACCACCCTTAGATTCAGTTATTCAGTTATGGCAACCACAAATATCTCCAGATATTGCCAGAAGTTCCCTGTGAGGCAAAATCACTGCGATTGAAAACCACTGCCTTATTTGAGTGGTTTTAGGACACTTATTGATGGCTTCTTGGGCCCAGGTAAGAAGCCAGGAGCAATTGAGTAATCACAGCCGTAGTAATAGTCACAAAATTGCACAACAAAGATATGGGACAAAGCATTCTAATTTTTTCTTACCCTACATGTAAAAAAAGGATCCAAGAAAAAGAAAAACGACAACACATCTCATGTTATTAATATACTGTATTATTTCTTTGGATCCAATGAAGAAATGTTTAAAGAAAGGAGTTTGTTGTTGTTTCTCAGTATTCATACTACTTTACTTTGGGATAGAGATCCCCAGGTACAAGATTTACCATTCGATAGAATTTTAATAAAATATATAAAGTATATGTATCTAAATAAATGATAATAACATACTGATTTTTCTTCACCAAGACAATTAAATTTTGCTGTTTTTATATAAATGAAGCAATGGCATAGGTATTCCTATGGTAAATAAAAAGCAGAATTGACACACATAGATTTATGGTTCTTATTTCAAAGAAAGTAACCCAAGCACTAAAATATATATTTTGGGATTTGCAAGAGTGATTTGATTTGATTTGATGCCTTTTCCCTTGGAAATCTTTTTATACCAAAGAATAATCACTATAGGTTCTGGAAAAAGAACAGAACATAAAAACATTAAAAGTTTAATCTCAATTTTCCATGAAAATGACATCATGGAAGCCCATTAATGAAATCGCCATTCCTCAATGCAAGGGTTTGTTTTTACATGATGGGCTAGAGTTTGTTTAGGTAAGAAGTAGAAAATGGAAAAAAGAATAGCAAAGAAAATAACTATCTTTATATACTATAAGCAAGTTTCTATTATTGTAGGCTCAGTACTTTGATAATTGTGGCATATTGAGGTTCTAACAGGTCAAAATATCATTTTAAAGGGAAAGAAAGAAAATACTGCCCTTCTCATTTATTTTTTATTATTGATTTATTTGTTTATTTTTGATTCAAAGTCTCCCTGTTGCCCAGGTTGGAGTACAGTGGCACAATTACAGCCATGACAGCCTCGACTTGCTGAGCTCAGGCAATCTTTCTGCCTCAGCCTTCCAAGTAGCTGGGACTATAGACACATGCCATCCATGCCCAGCTAATTTTTTTGATTTACTGTAGAGACGAGGTCTCTCCATGTTGCCCAGGCTGGTCTCAAACTCCTGAACTCAGGCAGTCCTCTTGCCTTGGCTTCCCAAAGTGCTGGGATTGCAGGCGTGAGCTGCTGCACCCAGTTTGCCCTTCTCTTTTAAAAAATGAATCATATAAATTCTCACCCTGGGCCCCAACTAACAAGTAAGCACCAGTAAGGCAAGCCTGAGTATTTTATTAATTCTCCAGGGACTTGTTTGTCCCATTGACATTCTGTGTCTTTTTTCTTGAAGTCCAGGGAAGCATTGTGGCAGCAATGTGCCATCCAGATCACTCACGCCATCCAATACGTGGTGGAGTTTGCAAAGCGAATAACAGGCTTCATGGAGCTCTGTCAAAATGATCAAATTCTACTTCTGAAGTCAGGTGAGCAAGCAGAAGATTCATTGGAGGAGGGGCTATTTTCAATCAGGATGTGGTCTAAAATGTTCTGTGTGGTTCTAGAATATTCTCCTTCCAACATGTAACTCTTTTTTACCACCCACACTGTCAGCCAACTCCCAAAGGAAACTCTTGGTAGTAAAAATGCCCTGATACTCATTCAGTTCCTCTTTGAAGTCAAATACAATTTTGCTTATTGAAAGTGGAGCTATTAATTGCGGAGGTTGAGATACCCAGCTTGACAGGCAGTGCAAGTCATTAGCGTGTCAAGGTGGCTGAATTGCTGAGCTGGCGCTAAAACATACTCCTTGCCTTCTGTGAAGAGGGAAAAAAAAAATGCAGGCTAGCTGAGCTCTGCCTCTGTGGTCATTTCCAATCATTTTAATGAGGATAGCCTGCAGCCAGGACACACACCGGGAGAAACTCCATGGTGCTCTGATCTTTCTCTTCCCTTCCCTTTCACACTCTCTGACACATGCAATTGCTTCGGAAGTAGCTCAAGAAACTCTGCATATGATTGACTATGCAGATGCTATTACCAAACCAAAAAAAAATTATTCCTGGGCCCCTTTGAAAATAAAAGTAAGAACCATCATGGTGTTTGTGTTCATCTTCATGGTCCTAGGCATTGGAATAATAACATATTCCTATATATAATAGTATACATATATGTTTATGTTTACCTATGACATCTCATTTAACCTTGTGAGATCAGTATTATTAGTTACACCTTATAGAGGAGGAAGTAAGAATTCAGAGAAGTGAAACACTATTCACAATCACAAAGCCAATACATGGCAAAGCTGGTATTTGAACTTGGGCCAAATATAATTGTTATTCTAAGATGAAAATTGAAGAAAACCTTGACACAAGCCCTAACTTGATGCAGCAGCTATCTAAACAACCCTAAAATTTAATTAAATCAACAATAATCATTTCTTTTTCTCTCAAAGCTACCATTTGGATAGGGCTCAGCAGGGATGGCTTATGTGGTTCTTTGTGGTATTCACTGAGGCAACTTAACTGAGGGCAGGAGAACCCACTTTCAAATTGGCTCACTCACATGACTGACAAATTGTGCTGGTTGACAGCCTGGAGTTCAGCCAAAGCTCCTCCCCGTGTGAACCTCTCTACAGACTGCTTGAACTTCCTCATAGCATGATCGCTAGGCTCCAATGTTAGCATCCCAAAAGAGCAAGGTAGAAGTGCATAGATTTTTCTAACTTAGTCACAGTGTTACTTCCACCACTCTATCAGTTGAGGCGATCATGATGGCCCATCGGGGATCAAGGGTGTGAGACATGGATTCTACTTTTTGATAGTGGAGTGGTAACGTCGTAGAGAACATGTGAGATGGAAGATATTTTTGTGACCCACTTTGAAAAATGAAATCTGCCATATATGGTATGTGACCTTGAGTTGAACTCTTTAGGTGGCACTTTCTTCACTTGTCAAATAAAAAGATAGATGAAAAGCAATGAATTACAAACTTGGAATTGCATCAGCAGCATCAAATGAGTTTACTGATAGTTCAGAGACATAGGCACCATCACAGCCTATCAGATCTCCTAGAAGGGAACCCAGTTCATTGTATTTCTCACTAAGACTCAGGGCCAGTCCATGGAGTGACATTTAAGAACCACAGAACTGTTCTTCCAGTCCCGGGCACTTCAGGACCCGCAGGTTACGGTGTAGACACGGCCAAATCCAAGAATTATACCACACACAACCAGTCCCGAAAATGGCACAGAAATAGCATCAAGAGACCCTCATCACAAAAATACGAGTCTCTTAAGCGGGTGGACCTCAAGTTCCCGAGGAACATGCTCTTTGCCAAGAAGCACAACAAAAAGGGCCTGAAGAAGATGCAAGTCAACAACGCCAGTGCCATGAGTGCACATGCTGAGGTTATCAAGGCCCTCATAAAGCCCAAGGAGGTTAAGCCCAAGATCCCAAAGGGTCCTAGCCCCAAGCCTACTCGACTTTCATGCATTGCCCACCCCAAGCTTGGGAAGCATATTCGTGCCTGTATTGCCAAGGGCCACAGGCTCTGCCGGCCAAAGGCCAAGGATCAAACTAAAACCCCGGTCTCAGCTTCACCTGCAACTCCAGCCTCAGTTCCAACTCCTGCTCAGGCGCCCAAAGGTACCCAGGCCCCCACAAAAGCTCCAGAGTAGAGGCCCCTGTCTGCCAATGTGTGGACAGAAGGACTGATTTGACCCCCAGGCTGCTGTCTGCATGGGACTGGTGTCCTCCTATGCTATTTGTACAAATAAACCTGAGGAAGGAAAAAAAAAACCACAGAACTATATCATCTTTAACATCTCTACGTGGTGTAAAAATGTTGACTCTATTATGAAAGACAGGGTTCTTAATCTCTTCAAACCTCCTGTAACTCATCCATAAAAACAGGGCTAATAAAACTCACCTAAAATCATTGTTTCAAAGAGCAAAAATAAGCATGAATATAAGAGGCCAAAGAAAGTGCCACCCATAGTGCAGATTCTCAGTAAACTGTACTTATTGTTGTTGACCTCAGAAAAATCATAGCTTCAATTAATATTTGCAAAATTTCTCTTGTATGTATAAACCTCTACGCTAGCAGATATGCCTGAGAAAAAGCAAAGAGAAATCAACAAGCATACCTATAGCAAAGGAAATAAAACAGACATAAATATAAAGTAGTGACATAAGAAAGTCATCAAAGATGTAGTGCAATCACCAGTATGATATTCCATGCAAATTTGTGGCTTCTGGGTCTGGCTGTTACCTTCCATTACCCTATGGGGCAAAATCCCAGTTCTTTAAAACATGGAGAAACTATGCTGGAGGACTTCCTGGTAGTTAATGTGTTCAGAGGGAAAACAAAGGTAGTAAACAAATTCACTCAATAAATATTTACCAAGCACCTGCTATGTGCTAGAGATTTTCTGTGGTTCTGGAGCTGTAAAAGTAAATACAATAACCACAACTGCTTACCACTGCAGACAAAGTTCGTACCTTCATTTCATCAATTATGAACTCAAGAATTGAAACTAATGTTAGTCAAAAAATAGAGGAAAATGCATCTTTCTCAAAAAATAATGTTCCTGCCCTCCAGTTTAACCACTTATAAAGTATATTTTCTCTTTAGTTTCTCACATAAGTACCAGAATAAATTTCTCTCTCTCTCTCTCTCTCTCTCCCCCTCCCCCCTCCCTCTGTGTGTGTGTGTGTGTGTGCGTGTGCGTGTGTGTGCGCGTGCGCGCGCACATATGTATGTCCTTCAAATGCAAGGAGAATTGTATTTCTAATATACTTATTTTCAGAAATGGAATCTTAATGGATTTCTGTGCGTTTGTGGGTGTGTATATGTGTGTTTTAAAGTTCTTAAAAGTCTCTGGACATATATGCAGTAATAACCTCTTTATTGTTAAATGTATGTATACATCTTTAAAAAATTTTTTAATTCATAGGTTGCTTGGAAGTGGTTTTAGTGAGAATGTGCCGTGCCTTCAACCCATTAAACAACACTGTTCTGTTTGAAGGAAAATATGGAGGAATGCAAATGTTCAAAGCCTTAGGTAAGTCTCCCTTTGATGAGGACACAACTGTGTCAGTTACCATCAGTATCTCCACTTAGACTGAAATTGGTAAATAGAATGCCTTAATTCTTTGATGAGAACTGGTATCTCATTATTCAATAAGAGTTGGACCAGGTGAGCTTTTAATCCAGGTGAGCATCTCCTGATCTTACAACTGTGGAAGAAGGAGAGAACCGTGGACCCTACTGAGACCTTGAGAAATAAATTAAGACTGACAGATGCTAAAAGAGCTGGGCAGCATTATAGGTCATTCTTCATAAAATCAGCTTTTCTTTTTACCTTTTATATTATGTAGTCCATAAAAGTGACCTCTTAAGTTTCTTTTATAAATTCATAATCATTAGTTAAGATACTTCATTAAGCTCACTCACTTAACAAGTGAGCTTCTTCACTTGTTTCTCATTCAGAGCAGTTCTTTTTTGTTTTTTGTTTTTTGAGTCTCACTCTGTTGCCCAGACTGGAGTGCAGTGGCACGCTTCCAGCCACCACAGCCTCGACCTGCTGGGCTCCAGCGATCCTTCCGCCTCAGCCTTCCAAGTAGCCGTAACTACAGGCGCGCGTTACCATGCCTGGCTAATTTTTGATTTATTGTAGATACAGGTCTTGCAAACTTGCCCGGGCGGGTCTCGAACCCACGGGCTCAGGCATTCCACTTGTCTCAGCCTCCCAAAGTGCTGGGATTATAGACTGAGCCACCGAGTTCAGCCAGAGCAGTTAATTCTTGAAGTTCTGAGAGCACAGGGTTGGTGCAACCTGGCCAAAATGCTCTCCAGACCATTGTTGTGAGAAGCACTGACAGAGTCAGTCTTTGTTAGGAAGTGTTGTGTATCATCACATCCAGTCATCAGTGCACAGCATGGATAAGAAGAACATTAGCAAAGATGGGCTGATGCCAGGAAAGGTTTTAATGATCGATAGTGCCATTTGTTCCATATCCTGCCCACAGACACCAAAGAAGGCCACTGCCCTTTCACCTCTTGTGCTGTTAGTTGATATGGCAGCCAACAGCAAGTCCATCAGGGCTGGCAATGTTTCCCTTCTACAGTTGATACACATCCATGTCATCGCCAAGGCTAGATTTTCAAGAAAGGAGGAAAAGCCTTGGCAAGCAACCTCGGTATATTTCCAGCTTCATCAAATAAACATTTACCAGGGATCAGTATAGAGATGCAACATCATTTTGCCAGAAATCACAATGGTGAAGCAACTGACCTGTGAACCATTCATCAGAAGGCAAAAATAATTTTTTTCCTCAATCAAGCTTCTAGGGGAACTACCAAATTGAAAGATATCTCTGTTCCATAAAATATTTCTAACATGCTGAGACCCCTGGACACCTTGCTTTGCTAAGTTCAAGCACCACTAGGACTGACAGTCCTCAGCCCTATGTTTTAGTTTTTCTGTGAATATTGTATTATAAAGGATCTTCAAATTAGTGAGTTAAGAATTCTTAACTGGAAACAATTTTAAATGTATAGGATGACATTCAGGTTGTATATTCCCAGCCGAATGTTACACTGAACATACACCATGTCTACTTACCCTCCCGCCCCCACTGGTAATGCTAACTTTGATTACCTGGCCAGGATGTTGCCTAATTTCTTAATTCTTTCATTAGTTTCAAATCGCCTTTTATGGTTAGAAACTTAGTAATGTATGTTCTCAATGTCTAGTAAGCATATTCCTTAAATAACTTCTGGACTATGAGATTTTTTTTTTTACTCTTGTCCCATTCCAAGTTTAAATATTTTTATTCCATTTTCCTCTTTGATAGGTTCTGATGACCTAGTGAATGAAGCATTTGACTTTGCAAAGAATTTGTGTTCCTTACAGCTGACTGAAGAGGAGATTGCTTTGTTTTCATCTGCTGTTCTGATATCTCCAGGTAAGGAGGAATCAGATGCCTTACCTTCTTTTTAAACCTCTTTTCCTAACTTTAACATGAATTACACCTACCTAAGCTAAAATGTTCAGGAGAAACTTCGTAATAAATTGTATTTTCCTTAGCAAATTTTGACTTTGCATTTTTGGATAATGCAAAGTAGAGTGGAGTTTATTTAAATGACTGGTTTTGTCCCAAAAGCAAGAGTAGGGCTTCTGGTAGAAGTCACACTGGATATAGATAAGCAAAATTGTTTCTTAACAAATAAAAATAGACAGGGATTTGAGTTACAGCTAAGTTTTGACTTTAAGAATAAAGTATATAGAAAATAAATGTCCAATAGAGTAAGACTCAGTAGAAATGTACCTGAATGAAAGACACTGAATAGGGGCCTAGATAAGTAAAAGGTCTACTTTCTTTTCTTTGAATACCTCTTTGACTGTTGTTTCCATCCAAATTAATGTTGATGTGCTCAGTTCAGATGAACGCTGGCATCTCTTTTCTTAGCAATAGAGTTGACTTTGAACAATGCAGTGATTGGGGCATTGAGCCCTTGTGCAATAAAAAATCCACATACAACTTTTAACTCCCAAAAACTTAACTACTAATAGCCTACTATTGACTGGAAGCCTTACTGATAACATAACTGTTGATTAACATATATTTTGTACAATAGATATACTGTATTCTTACAGCAAAATAAGCTAGAGTAAAGAAAATATTATTAAGAAAACCATAAGCAAGAGAAAATCTATTTGCATGTATTGAGTGGAAATGGATCATCATAAAAATCTTCATGTGCATCTTCATGTTGAATAAGCTGAAGAGGAGGAAGAAGAAGAGGAAGGATTGGTCTGGCTGTCTCGGGTGACAGAGGCAGAAGGAGAATCCTCATATAAACAGATCTGTGCAGTTCAAACCTGTACTGTTCAAGGATCAACTGTATTAGGAGCTTTAACAGGAGGTGAAGACAGTGGAGGGGAAAAAAGTTCCTACTAAAGTCTACCCGAATGGAAGAGGGAGAACCTCAGACATGAACACACACATTCTAGTACCGGCTCCCTCACCTGGGGTCTGTTTGTGTGACCTTAAATACTTCACCCCTCAGAGCCTCTGTTTTCTCATCTTTAAAATAAAAGGGAAGAGTCCATAATAACTAAGACTTCTACTAACTCTAAAATGCAATAAAATACCAAAAAATTTCAAAAGAAGTCAAAGGGTGACAACATTTTATGGATCAACTAGAACTTAAAATATTATTTTAGCAATTAAATATATTTGTAAAATAAATGTCAGCTCAAAATGTAATAATAATAATATATAAGCATGATAGAGTGGCAATAATATACTAAATGCATGACTCCCTCTTCAATCAGAATGAGAACTGAGAGTCACTTATTCAGCTGTCTGTTTGGCTCGATTTTGTATCAAGGGAGAGCAGCCTCATTGACAGCTCTCTAGGGAAAGAAAAACACATTCCTACCTAATTTTTAAGGTCAAGAGACTTATTCCTTTGGTAACCCATTTATCTCCAGAGACTAGATCTTTTTTCCTATACTCGGACATATTTTTATGGTTTTTATTTTTTATTTATTTTTGTTTTTTTGAGTTGGCGTCTCACTCCGTCGCCCAGACTGGAGTGCAGTGGCACGCTTATGGCCACTGCAGCCTCGACCTGCTGGGCTCCGGCAATCCTTCTGCCTCAGCCTTCCAAGTAGCCGGAACTACAGGCGCACACTACCATGCCCGGCTTGTTTTTGACTTATTGTAGAGATGAGGTCTCACCAAGTTGCCCAGGGGGGTCTTGAACCCACAGGCTCAGGCAATCCACTCGCCTCGGCCTCCCAAAGTGCTGGGATTACAGGCTGAGCCACCCAACCGGGCCTACTCTGACATATTTTTAAATGAGACCAGACAAAATTAATCTTACCCGGGATGCAAGACTACATCTTATATCTCTTAACATGTTATTCTTGTTGTACTTACCAATAATACTAACCTCAACACTTTTTTTTAATCTGTTAGCCTTTATTATTCCTAATATGATTACTGGTGGTCTAATCAAGGTATTTTTAATTTACTACTTTTTTTCTTTAACCATGGTATCAAAAAATGGAAATTAGTTATCACATAGAGTGTTTTTACTAACAGTTTCTTTTATGGCTCTGTCTAAAATCAAGCTGTTCCTCTGGGCCTTTTTTTTTTTTTTTTTAAACCCTAGAAAGTTTCCCAGGCTTGGAAGCAAAAAGATAGATGGAAGAAGTGACAAGAAATACTTATTTCTGATAGCAACCACATGCCAAATAATTTTAGTTCTATCATTTTCTCATTGCATATGATTATTTCCACTGAGAGTAGTTCAATAGATCTAAGCCTGTGGGTCTACAGATATGGGAGATGGTTTCACTCTGGTTCCTGCATGCTCAAAGAAAGCATTAGAAAGAGTCACTCTCCTCTTTGGGTAAGTTTGTGGCAAGTCATTCCATTTAAACAGCAAATATTGAAGACACGAAATATTAAACCAGAAAGATCTGCGAAAATGCCTGCCTCAGAAGGAAGGCTAACCCATTCCTTGTGAGATAGAAATCGGTGGAACCATTTAGCCTTTTTCTGGATAGAACATGCTGTCACCTTCAAATTCTGAGGTGCTTGGAAGCTTGTGATTTGGCTTACTCTACCTAGTGGGGAATCCAGGGCTAATAGCAGACCCACACTTAGAGGCTTCAGCAGCTCCAAATACCTTTGCCACCCTGGCTTAGTGCCATATTTCAGAAAGAGAGGGAAGACTGATTTCCAGCTTGTGTATGCTCTATCTCCTGCCAGACCCCTCTTACCCTCTCTCCAAGTTCCTGATATAAAAGCCACTTCTATTCAGTTCCAAACAGCTTAGGAAAGGGAGAGGGAGGGGAACTTAATTTATTCTGATTGACAATTGTCACTGAAGGCTTTTGTACTCACTTACGTAAGGGTTTACTTAACTGTTGGCTAGACTTGTCCTTGTCCTGTCTAGGGTTACAGAATTAAGTTTCTCACCTGACCTGAACTATGTTCAGAAGGATCATGGCCAAGTTCTTTTCCATGAGTTTTTGTTCAGCATTTGAAGAGTCTAGGTGTCTCTTCATTGAAGATCTAACCTAAGGCATTGAGGCAAGGCTGGATTTTGTCACCGTGATATATAAAGTTCTCAGAAAGGGAAGGGAAGGCAGGAAGGAAGAAAGGAAGGGCAGAGGAAAGGAGAGAGGGTTGGAGAGAGAGGAAGAGAAGAAGAAAAGAAGGAAGAAGAAAGAAGGGAGGGAGGGATGGAACAAGACAGGGAGGAAGGAAGGGAGGGGAACAGAAAGGAGGGATTATCTTATCCACCATTTTAAAATTTATTTTAGAAAAATAGGACACAGGAGTACCTTTTTTAAAAAAAACTGATTTATGTTTAGGATATATAAATTATAACATAACCTCAGCTCTATATCTTATGAGAGAATAAACTGAGAAAAGGAAGGGATCCTGAATTTCAAAAAATATTACTGTACAATAGAGTTTCTTCACTTCTGTAATTTTCTGCACCAATAGCTAACATCTTTGAAAGAAAATCTAAGCATATGTTCAAAGAAAAGAGTATGAGATGTCATTTGTCACAGACAATAAGAAACAATCACAAGTTCTCACTCCTTGAACAACTACCATAATACTATAAGAAAAGGATTGACAGTGGCAGGAAACTACGGGGTGGGGAGCAAGGAGGGCTGGGGACGTTGGATTAACAGTAGCCAATATCTGTCTGGGAAAGAGGGGGCACACACACCTCATCAACAAGGGTACCTATGCAATGAATATTTGTTTTTTGTTTTGTTTTGTTTTTGAGTTGGAGTCTTACTCTGTCGCCCAGACTGGAGTGCAGTGGCCACTCCTGGCCACTGCAGCCTCGACCTGCTGGGCTCCGGCGATCCTTCCGCCCCAGCCTTCCGAGTAGCCGGAATTACAGGCATGCACTACCACACCCGGCTGATTTTTTGATTTATTGTAGAGATGAGGTCTCGCTGCCCAGGCGGGTCTCGAACCCGCGGGCTCAGGCAATCCACTCACCTCAGCCTCCCAAAGGCGCGGGATTACAGGCTGAGCCCGGCGCAATGAATATTTGTATACCTAACCCTTAACTGTACCCTAAAATTTTAAAATAAAAATATATATGTATAATTAAAAAATAAATAATTTTTTTAAAAAAACAATGAAGGAGATTTTTGAACCATATTGTCCTTTCCTCCAAACTGATTTCCTGTATCGTTATGCTGTGCTTTACTGACATCGTGGTATTGCTTCTAAAATATTTATGTTTTATGTAAATAATTACATATCTTCAGAAGCATATATATGTAGGTGGAATAAACAAAGCTTATGCTCCTTCCCTTTCTTATCCATTATTTTTCCTTCATCAGACCGAGCCTGGCTGATAGAACCAAGGAAGGTCCAGAAGCTTCAGGAAAAAATTTATTTTGCACTTCAACATGTGATTCAGAAGAATCACCTGGATGATGAGACATTGGCAAAGGTAGGTCCTCAGATCACAGAACCACTATCGCAAAAAGAGCACAGTGAGCAAAAGGGCCTGGTTATAAACCAAGGGAACTTTGTCTCAGCAGCCACAATTTCTGAAAGTCATCAAAGTTTGCATAAAATTTGAGGTGTGCATTTTAAAAGAGAAACTAGTAAATTATAATAGATTAAGAGGAAAAAGGCTTTCTTAGAGAAGGATGATTGACAGATCTGAACCCAAGATACAGGAAGACAGATCAAAGGAACTGAGGGTGTTTTATCAGAAGAACAAAAGCCTGAAGCAAGGAAACAAGTCTTCAAAATTCATATTGGAAGAAAGAAGACTTTGTGCCAGTTTAGGAGTCATATCTGGACAAAAGTTAATAGTAGGTAGATTTTTATTCAAAATAAGGAAGAACTGTCAAATGATGAGAATTGTTGAAAAGAGAGATGGACTACCATGTGAAGTAATGAGCTCCCTGTCATTGGGCATGTTCTAGTAGAGTTATCTTGTCACCTCTCAGGCATGTTATAAATAGCAGTCCTACCCAGAGTGGAAGATTAGACTGATGACTTTGCAAATTTCTCTTCAATGCTAATCTCTTCATGCAAGACTTGCCCTGAGGTTCTTTCAAAATGGTGAAATATCTCGGAGCAAAATGCATGCAACATACCATCAATTTCTTGATTCAACTTAATTAAGAATGATGATCTTTAAGAAGAGTACTGAGAAAAGTTGTTTACCAAAGTAAAATAATCTCCAAAAGAAGCAAATTCTAATGATTGATATTCAGCATTACCAATATCTTAAAGTAGCTTTGATTTTCCAAGAACTGGAATTTTTTTGGATGACCAGAATTATTTTAGATTTTAAAGCATCTTAGATTTCTTAAGAACTAGAATCTTTTTAGAGGGTAAGAAATTAGGAAATCGAGCTTATTCTTGGTTCATGATCATAGAAATCCTACTCCTTATATTTTTATCATTAAAACCTTCCCACTCTGCCCTTGAAGTTCTTTATTTCAGAAAGGGGGAGGGTACAGACTCTATTTGTAGACACCATCAGATTTTACTTTGCACACACAGAGTACTGCTATAAAAAACCTCCATGAGTTAAATATGCTGCTTCATTATGGTAACATTTTGTTAAAATTAACGCATCACTAGGAAGAACATTTCCACGCTATAGAGCAATAATTCTCTTTGACGTAACTTTTCACTTATTATGTGGTCAAGGACAAATCACCTGCTCTCTGTACCTCAGTTTTCTCACAGTCAAAAGCAGAATTTCAACATGCTTTCAGATTCACTGGGCAGAAAAGACAGTAATGTGAATATACGTATGTGTCTCTCTATAGTTGCTTGGTAGCATATCTGCATAAATACATCTTGTTAATTAACGTGGAGTAATGTCTGCATCTGGGATCTCCCAAAGACTTTAGTCCCCATATCTACCATCCTGAAATTAAGGGCTTAAATAAAACCCAGAGTTAGGTGAAAATTTTTGCTACAGTGCTTAGGGAGATTGTCTGCTTGTGTAAAAACTGTGGTCTCATCATCTATGAAATGAGGACTATAGTTCTGTCTCCTGCACAGATGTGCTGTGAGGTTCAAATGAGATACACATTGCATAAATTCTAACACACTGTGAAACTGTGATTATTCCTCCCCCAAGAGGATAAAATGTTTATGCTTGTATCGCTTGCTACCTCCCACTGTCCTGGTGGCGATTTGAGATATTTGAGGTAGAAAAAAGACAGAAATTGAAGAATGAAAGGTATTTGATGGCAAGAAAAAAAAATTGCAACATTGACTATAGATCAGCTTAATTTCCTTTTCTCCATCTCTAGTGGGAAAAGCACGCAATTCAGTTCTTTTCTTATAGATAGGTAACGTCGCAAAGCTGAGAAATCACTAGAAGATTATTTCTTGGATAAAATACATTGAAGCCAGGTGACAGAGCATTGCTTCTGTAAGCATGTGCAGAGTATGGGTTTTTGTGTGAACCCTTTGTAACAGTCATCATCTTAATCCGATGTTATTTGAACTAATGTGGACTGACCTTGAGAGCTGGATTCTCATTCAGCCCATCTCTGAACTCTGTGGCTTTCAGATAAGTCATTGCGCTTGTCTAAGTTCCAGATTTATCTGCTGTCAAGTGCTGGAGGGGCTGGGAGTGTGAAGCAAGTTTGTTTGGTTCCTAACTGCTTTAGCACTCTGAGACACTCTGAGGACATTGGTGTATAGGTTATCCTCTCATCGAATTCCCCAAAAGGAATAGTTTTATTTAATTGTAAGAGAAACACCTCATCTCTACAACAGATAAACAAACAAATAAATAAATGAGCCAGGCATAGTAGGGCACGCCTGTAGTTCCAGCTGCTTGGAAGGCTGAGGCGGAAGGATCACCTAAGCCCAGCAGGTCGAGGCTTCGGTGGCCGGGAGCGTGCCATTGCACTCCAGCCTGGGCGACAAAGTGAGACTTCAACTCAAAAAAAAAAAAAAATGCAAGAAAAACTATTCCACACCACCACAAATTCTATCATCTTTTCAGAAAGGCTCCATGTGCCTTCGGAATCGTGGCGTTCTTCTGCCTCCACAATACCTCTAAACCAGTGAGAATCATTCTTAATATTTGTTATTCATAGACCCTTTGGAAAATCTGCTGAACACAATGAAACCTCTCAAAAAAAATGCACACACACCCAAAATGGTGTGTTCAAGTTCAGAGGCTCCGGATACATCTCCAGTAGGTGGGGGGTAGATCTGCCTTCTGTGTAAAGTGTAAAAGATTATTTCTACCATCAACCCTTATGTTGAACTGTGTCCTGAAAGAGCAACCTCCAGCACACTTTCTACTGCCCACTTCCTGAAATTAACATTCAGATAGCAGGCCCTTCTAGTTCTGGCCCATCTATAACCTATGGAACATTTGAAAACTCAGGGATTCTGTGTCTATTAACGAGAAGATTTCAATCTCTATCTATTAATTTGGGTTTTTTTGGTTTGGGGGAGAAGGAATGGTTAGGAAAAAACTACATTAAATAATCTAGTTTTATTAATCAGGCGTGGTACCGCATGCCTGTAGTTCCAGCTACTTGGAAGTCTGGGGTGGAAGGGATCGCCTGAGCCCAGCAGGTCAAGGCTGCGGTGGCCGGGAGTGTGCCACTGCCCTCCAACCTGGGCGACAGAGTGAGACTCCAACTCAAATAAATAAATAAATAAATAATCTAGTTTCCTCTCCTCATCAGCATATACAAGGGAGGACCCCTCCCCCCGCAAAATTTATTTATTTAAAAATTGTGTTATTTATTGTCACGTGTTTAAACTTCAGTCACTTTCAGAGCAATCTCCGTTTGATGCAATACACCTATCGAGATGCTTTCTCCACTGCTCAGAAGTTTTTGAGTTCATCAACATTGATGCCTTTGAGTGCTTCTGCTGTTTTTGGTTTCACTTCTTCCACAAAGGCGAAACATTTCCCTTGGAGGACTTTTTTCATCCAGGGAAACACAAGAAAGTAGATTGGGGTGAGATCAGGTGAATGGGGGGGGTGAGGCATGGGGGTCATGTCATTTTAGGTAAAAACTGCTGAATACAGCACAGTGTGGGCAGGTGCACATGTCATATTACCCATTATTAGAAGAATCTCCCCCCAAAAAATTCACTGAAGCTGAAGGCAGCCTCTCACAACAACACTAGCTGATGCACTGATGCTGATGGGTTCCTAGAACATTTACCTAGTGGGGGGAGCCTGTACTAAAAGGGACCCACCCTCCAAAAGATCATTCTGGGTTTATTTTGGTTCTCCCCTTGTATATAATAAAACATCAAAGCCACTTGCCAGCTGAGTGACCTGGACACATGACTTAAACACTGTGTACCTCAGTTTCCTAATTTGTACAGTATGACTAAAAAATAGTACCAATGTTATATGATTATTTTGAGGACTAAATAAAATATAAGCTGCTTATCCCATAATAGGTAATATGTAAATGCTGCTGTGCTGTAGTTGTTGTTGACAGAAGAGATTTTATTTCAGCAGGGAAATTTTCATCCAAGAGATGGTATATTTGAGCTAATCACTGGTGGATGAAAACTCTTTCGAAAGACGGAAGTAGGGAGGATGGAGAAGTGCAGGCTGGCATTCCAAGTGATAGGGGCAATGCTATGGAGGTAGAAAGCATAAGGTATATGCAGGCTATAAATAATAGATTTGGCTGGATCCTGGATTTGAGAAGCCAGGAAATGAGATAACACTGGTCACTTTCACTAAAGCTTATAAAAAAAAAATACATATATATATAAAATAAATATACATATATATTTTTAAGCCCCATATGACTAGAGGAGGCAGCCCATCTGTTCTCTGGGCTTCACTTTTCTTGTCTGGAAAATGAGTAGGTTGGACTGCATGGTCTTTAAGGTCTCTTCAGTATAAAATTCTTTGACTCCCCAGAGAGAAAAACAAAGGTTCCTGCTGACATCTTTTGTCTTCCAGTGTACAGTTCAGCATAAGCGTTTTAAGGACTCTTTTTGATGTTTTGCCATTACAATAAGTGAAGAAAAAGACTGATTTTGCCCAGTCTTGCAGATCCAAATTAGTACTCTGTGCATGAAGATCATTGAGTTTTGGATGATATTTCAGCCCCAGAGCTGCAAAGCGTACAATGTGTGAAACACCTGGGTGCAGAGGTCAGCATTCCCATTCGGTTCCTAGGAGAAGCGCTGTCACCTTGTGCTTTGAATACAGCCATGACTCACTTTGAGAGATTTACTACCTGGGTGAAGACCACTCCAGAGATCACGGACCCTGTGATGCTCTTTCTCCACTCAGTTGGGAACAGCAGGACCACTGCTGGGGAAGGAAAAAGGGTGGGCGATAAGACAGTGAATGCTTCTGATCTCAGGCTTTCTCTGTCAAACTCACTAAATCTGCTGTTCTTGTTGCCCTGACAAAGGGGCAGAGGATGGAGGAGAACGAAAGGCCAAGCCAGCGTGGGCCAAGCTGCGGCA